GTCCCATCAAAAGTAGGGCGCTTCATGTTATCGAAGTCCCTGTATTGAAAAGCCCGACTGGCTCCTCCCCCTACCGTCATTATAGCCGATGCATCTGCGGCGGCAGCTGTCTCTGCAACGGTTGCATAACGCTCGTCGAAGTACTCGACCATGGCAGTCTTAATAGACCCAAACATCTCTGGAAGCTGTTCCCGGAACAAAGTGGCAACCTCATTATGCAGGATCTCTCGAATCCTGACATCTAGCTCATCTACCCCCGTCTGTATCACAACCTCGGGTGCTACCGGCCCCTCCTGACCGCTCTCTCCTGATCCTGATCCTGATGTTGATCCGAATCCTGCCACAAAGAATCTCGTAACCACCATGTTGGTGCATGGAAATGCTCCACAAATAATCAGTGTTTATTAGGTTGTATTTTCCATTTATTTTGTATTGTTGGTAGGCCTGGCAATCGTGTCGTGTTCGGTTGGCATGTCGCGGGTTGGCGGGTTGGCGGGTCAAAATATGCCAACCCAAACACGACCCATTTAAATATACAGGCTACGGGTTGGCGGGTCATGGGTTTGTGGGTTTGGAACATAAACCCATATATGACCCGCCAACCCATTTATTTATACGGGTTCATAGGTTGGCGGGTTCGTGGGTCAGATTTGGGTTCGTAGGTCTAAATTTTAGACATTTAAGTCTTAAACATCCAAATGAAAATTAAAAACATTTATAGAAACATGTTACAAGCTTAGCCTTAGAGGTTACGACTTACGGCCTTAGACCATCCACCACGAGTCAAAATATCAAAATAGTCAAATTGTCTATGAATTAATGGTATATATTATATAATGCTTATTAAATATTAATACTTGATATATAAATACATTTAAAAATAAAATAATTTTTTTATTGAGTATATAAACGGGTTGGCGGGTCAACCCGTTTATTTTTTAAGAAACGCATATATGACCCGTTTAATAAACGGGTTGGCGGGTTGGCGAGTTAGCGGGTTGAAAAACTCAACCCAAACTCATTTATTTCGTGTCGTGTCGCGGGTCGTGTCGAGAATTGTCAGCCCTAATTGTTGGTGTAAATACTCTCCCTCCTATATAAAGGGAGAGTTTGTCATTTATTTCTTTTAGCTAGCTCATTTCTTTTCTTAGTTAGAGTTACACTTTTCTTACAATGTAATTCTAGAGAGAGAAAGTTGGTGGATTCTCCCACCCAGGGAGAGTTTCTCTCCCACTATGTTCTTCATGAAATATATTATTATTCTCTCTTGTTCTTAGTCTTTTCGTATGAACTCATATCATGTTCTTCATGTTCATACTTCCAAAAACACGATTAATCTCGAGATATCTTACTTCCGTATTCACCGTTCGTTATAAAAATTGGTTCCTACAATTGGTTTCAGAGCCGTACTGTGAAGATCTCACGATTAGTTCAAGGAACGACTCCCGTTCAGTGATTATCTTGAAGATTTTTTTATGTTTTTGCAAAAAAATTCGGGTCTAAACCGGAAATTTTATGATGAGTTCTTCTATTTTTGGTGTTGATTCAATCTTTCACGAATAAAAAAGTTGCTATTTTCTTGTTCTAATTTCTACTGAAAATCCGGGTTTATGAAGATTTTTTTTCTTGCTGCTGATAAAGAAGAAGAAGATGATATTTTATTTTGTTTAAAAGAGCTCAATAAATGATTTTATTCCGTGTTATGGAAAAGACAAAAATAGCTTGGGAATGTGATACTCTTGCAATAAAAAATTACCCCAAAAGGTATGGTTCCTGCGATTAATTAGCAGCTGATATTTATTCGGGATAATGACTTAGGAGGGTAATAAGATTTCCAGCTTTTTCGTATTAGGTTACTAAGGTTTTTTTTTATGCGTATTAGACCAATATGGTTGTTATTACCGTTTAGAAATAGTCTTTTTACTGGTTAAAACCGGTAAAAAGACTATTTCTAAACGGTAATAACAATCATATTGGTCTAATACGCACAAAAAAAACCTTAGTGACCTAATACGGACAAACTAGAAACTTTATTACCCTCCTAAGTCATTAACCCTAATTATTTAGAAAACATGCTTACTAATCAATGTGACTGATTTGTTTGACTGAAAATAATTGCTTCCATTTAAACTTATCTCACAACCCTTCCAGAACTTCTAAGTCAAGAAACTGATATGATTGATGATCTTCATTACATAAATATGCAACATTCATCAATAACTTCTTTTTTGTCATTTAAATGTTTACATGAACACATCCATATGTACAACAACAAAATCTCACTTTGATACCTCCCATCAATGTATACATTTGATAACGAATGGAAATGTAAAACCAACATGGACTTGTAGAGGATGTCTATTATCATTTATTTTATAAAAAGCAAAACCACAACATGAACTAAGAAACTGATATTGCAAAATGAATAAAAAAATCAACACATAAACAAATACATACATACTATATGCAACACATAAACGGAAGTTTATAAAGCATGAAACTTGATGACAGGAAAAGTAAAAAACTTAAAGGAGACTTTATAGAAAGAAAGATCACTCTTACTTGCCACAAATGGTTGAAGACATCAATAAGAAGATCAATCTGACCATAGAATCCACATGTTGTCTGATCATGACTTCAGTAGATGAACTAATGAAACGTAAGAATTGTAATGGAACTCTATTAGCATTTGAAAAGGGAATTAGGGGTCCAGAGAAAACGGCGAAGGGTTAAAAAAAATTTTGGACCATTTCTCGATTTCTGTGTGTCATCCTTGCGCACGGGCCAATGCTAATCTTCTCTGTATCGTTCCAATTTTATCGGATGTCCCCAAAGGGACGACTATAAATGAAGAGCTTCGCCATACACAGGAATAGCAGGTTATATGGGACGACGCGAGTTCTAAACGAAGTAGTTTACTGTTGATGGTCATATATTCTCAATGGCTTTAAACTTAGAGTTAATGAATTAGGAGGGTAATAAGGTTTCCAGTTTGTCCGTATTAGGTCACTAAGGTTTTTTTTTGTGCGTATTAGACCAAGATGGTTGTTATTACCGTTTAGAAAGAGTCCTTTTTACTTGTTAAAACCGGTAAAATGACTATTTCTAAACGATAATAACAACCATATTGGTTTAATACGCACAAAAAAAAACCTTAGTGATCTAATACGGACAAACTGAAAACTTTATCACCCTCCTAAATCATTATCCCTATTTATTCATTATTATAAGTCTTTATGGTAGAGTACAAGTCTCATCGCTGATAGTACATGCCGTCTAATTGGATGAAATATACATGCATGTTTTTATGCATAAATTGGGACATGAACTTTTGCCGGACCCCACTTGTGAGGCTAACTCTCCATATTACTTCATTTATTTGCACAACCCTATTTCCCAAGACAAGAAACCCCTACATAGCAATGTTTTGAAAATCGAACCGGACATCGAACCGATCGTCTTACCGGGTTGATGGTTCGATTGGTTCGAAAGGTCGGACCGGTCCTAAAAACCGGATGAACCGTACGACGTCATATATATATATATATATATATATATATATATATATATATATATATATATATATATAATGATAATAATAATAACAACAACCTTATTTTTGAACTTATAAATTGAAACCTTCCAAAATACTAATTCTAATAATTTATGTCATACAAAATTTTGTTACTAACGTAATGAAAAGTAAAAAAAAAAAAAAAAAAAAAAAAAGCTTTTGTTTAATGTAGAAGAGTCCTCAAATTGATTATTAGGCTTATCCCACATCGACAAAAAAACAAAAGGGGAGGCTTAGAGAGCATTATAAAGCAAATGTAGCTATAGGCTTTTTTAAAAGCAAACAGCGGATTTACTTCAATAAGGGGTGGGTCTCCTGAATCATTTTAGTGTAAATTTTATAAATGAAAATTATTGTCCGGTTTTTTTCCGGTTTAACCAGTCCGGTTTTTACCGGTTTATGGTTGAACTGCCGGTTCTTAACGGGTTTATTTACAAGCGGTTTTTGGGCTTTATAAAACCGGTAACCTGATCGGTTCCCAGTTGAACCGGCCGGTCCGGTCCGGTTTTCAAAACAGTGCTACATAGCTGATACACTTTATTGACTCTCTTGACACACGAATGCCACCTTACTTTCTCTGTTTACCTACGTGACTTCTCATAACTCATGTCCACTGCCACTTTTGTTTAATTTTTCTGCGACACGTAACCAGAGTACCAAAATGGGGTTATTGAAAAACCAATCTGGTATAATTTAAAATTTTTTACAAAACTAGTATTTTTCTTCATTTTTAATTTATTTTTCAATATTTCTTATTGTTTTTCTATTTATTTATATCGGCTGTTTTACTTTTTTATTTCAGGTTTTTACTATTTTTTGTTATTAAATATTATTTTATTTTTTATTTTATTTTCATTTGAGATTTTTTTAATATACATTTAACATAAACATCTAACACACAAAAGAGCTTTATTATTTCCGTTCATTATATGCCTATTTGAGTAATTTTTTTTCCACTTTTTATATAGTGATTATGAGTTTACTTTAATTTCCTTACCATTTATTTATACATATATTTTAAAAACTTAATCCTTTATACAAAGAATTTTTTTCTCATGTCTTTATTTATACAACATTTGCATGCTTTTTGAGTTTCTTTACGGGTTTTTGTCATAAAAGCTCTCATATTTACATAAAAAAACCGGTTATGCCCAAAATTGATTTCTTTTGCCACAGATGCCTAACACTTACCCTCATGTTTCATTTAATGTTTTTTACCGGTTCCACGTAATCAACCGGTTACATCCCCATTTACAACCGGTTACATCCCCATAGGTAATACGAATGTTAAATTCCATTTGGTGAAGCATTCTCATTGTCTGAAGCTAGGGTTTTTCAAGAGGTAAGAAATTACGGTCTGATCATGGTTTTTACGAGAAATCATCTCCATTAATTGCTTACTTTTCATGATAATGGTTGCGAAGAAATGGGTTCTTCAGACGATGGTTACGACGACCCATTTGCTGGAATTTACGAGCCATTTTCTGGGTTAAATGAGATGGATTTTGAGCTACACGGGATTTACATGGATCATAAACCACGACAGGAGTTTGTATCAAGGCTTGATAAATGTAAGGATCATTTTCTTAACATTCTAATTTCTTATGCGAACATTAGAAATGCAAGTATGATTGATGAGGTGAAAGATCGAGTGGAGCATGATAATGATTTGCAAAATGATGAGGAGGCAGAGGAAGAAGTGACTAACAAATACAGAATACATGATCCAAATGTTAGGTGGGATAAGATGGAACCTAAGTTAGGGGACGTGTTCGGATCACCTGCACAGCTGAAATTGTGTGTGACAAACTATGCAGTAAATTGAGGGTACCAAATATACTTTCAAAAGAGTGACAATAGAAGAATTATTGCAAATCAAGATGATGGTGATGTGATTGAAGGTGATGGTGATGTTCTAAATGATGGTGGTGTGATTGAAGGTGAAGGTGTTAATCATGGGAATGAGGCTGCTGGTGATGTTCTAAATAATGAGATTGCTGATGATGGGAATGTGGCTAATGATGAAGGTCATCTGAAAGTGCCTAAGACAAGGAAAAGAAAGCCATCAGAGAGGATCACTAAAATAAAGCTTAAAAATGTAGTTTTTGATAAAGATGGGGATGGTTCCACATGTTCAAATCTAGTGAATCTGGAGTAGTTAGTTATGTATATGGGGGATTTAGGTGGAAATGGTATACTTGGGCATTTGCACAGGAAGCCCTTTTTAGTACATTTTGTACATCTTAGTTTATACACCCACTAAGTTCACCTTTCATCCAGTTGTTCTCATGTACCTTTTGGGTTGCCTTTTTGGGATATATTTTTGGCAATTTGGTACAAATGGATGGATGGTACATGTTAGTTGATCTTTTGTGATCTTTTGTATTGGTACATGAATATTATGTAATGAATCCCCTCATTATGGTTATAATATGTTTGTTATGTTTGTTAATTTATAATATGTTTTTTTATCGATACCATTGGCATCTATATTATGTAGCATGTGTAACTACAGTTAACCAATTTCAGCATTGTACTTTACCATTTAGCAATTTAATGTATATTATGAACCATATGTTTGTTATGTTTACCATTTACATTTCACAGACAATTTGTATTTTACCATTACAGACATTTCATCATGGCAAAGCCCAATTGTTATATGAACTCTAAGTAGCTATTCCTACTCAATCTTTCTAGTAAAACTTCCCCTTCTTATCACCATGCAATAATACAAAAAGTTGTAATGAAAGATTGCAAAAGTTTACATGGAAAATCTACATTTTTTCCTGATTTCAACTTTTTAGTTTACAACCAGGAAAAAAGATGCATACATCTGATCTGATCTGATCTAAATCCTTCATTTGTTGTGAATAACTGATCTAGTAGTAAGAGATGATCTCATGTCAACAATGGCAGATTCATCAGCACCCAAATTGATAGCTTCTTTGCTAGCAGTTATGAATCTTGAAACTGCACCTTTTACATACGTATAAGCTTCTTTCACATTCATTTTGTTGCTCATTTCATCTGGAAAACTACTCAAGAAATGATCACCATTAAGAACAGCAGCAAAATAATATAAAGTCACAACATTCTACCATTCCAAAACAATAGTTACTAGCCAACTTCAGCATTGTACTTCCATTTGCAACTAAAATCAATCCAAACATTCTACCAAAAGCCAAGTCGACCCAAACATTCTACCAAAAGCCAATCCAAAATGATTTACATCTTCAAAACAACAATTGTCACCATTACAAAAATAAGAACCAAAAGACCTACAATTATTTCTACCAAAGTCTTCAACTGTCCATGCCCCTGCCCCTGCCCCTGCATCTGCTTTGTACGAGTTGGGTCGATAATGTGGTAATCTTCTTCATTGTACCATTTGAAAAAACCACAGTCCTCTTCTTCCACCTAGACAAAACAATAATTTGTATTAATTACATACAAATTAGGGCAAATTGTTTCAAGGTTTCTTCATTGTACCATTTCAAGGCTTATCAAGAAATTTACAAATTAGGGCAAATTGTTTACCTTGTAATTAGGGCACCCATAAAACTTCTTTCCATAGTTCTCAGGTGTTCGAGCAACAGATACCTTGCACACATCTCCACAGCCACATCTAACTACTCTTTTCTTTCTCAATGTTGGACCACCTTGGAAGCTTGCTTTGGCAGACGAAATCGACATTTTACAGATACTTAGGGTAGAAGACGGGGGAGAGAATAGAAGACAGTGGAGGGAAAGACTTTCGATCGATGTTAACGGAAAACGAGTATGTTTGGGGCTTAAAAGGGTGGATGTAACGACCCAATTTTCACATCAATTTTTTTTGTTTAAAAACGTTACTTTAGAAAATATTAATAACTAAAACATCATTCGATCATCCATAATATAAACTGAACCATGTCTGAAAACCAAAACATACAACTAATCAGAATATCAGAGTATCAATCCCAGAAAAGCTCGTAAATGCGGAAACCGAAGAGTGTGTGTGTGTGTGACATGCTGCTACCGCGCCGGCTCCTTTCCTCTAGCTGAGGAGGTACCTGAAACCAAAACTGAAACCGTAAGGACAAAGCTTAGTGAGCTCCCCCATAATACCCCATACCAAGCAAGCATTTAACAAACAACATGCAATTAGGAGATACGGGCCACGCCCACACTCGTGAAGATACGGGCCCCACCCACACTTTGCTTTCTGAGAGATACGGGCCCCGCCCACACTTTGCTATCTAGGAGATACGGGCCTAGCCCACACTCCATTCACGGAGAGATACGGGCCTCGCCCACACTCAACCGCCAACTCATATCATACAAGTATCGCACAGACAACAAGTGTAAACAATTCTATCATACTGGCATATATCATAATCAACTCAACTAAAAGATACGGGCTCGGCCCACACTCTAATACTAACGTCTCGTCTATACGGGCCGGCCTTGGTGCCTTAGACCCGTTACTACTGGAAGGAAACTCACCTCGAAATAGCTGCTGGTCTGTGTGGGAATTGATCACCTACTACTGCTGCTGCTGCTCCGGAAACTCCCCGGCTGTAATTCCCACAATATACTTAATCATACACTGCTAACTGTCCTTTGGGTAAAAAGACCATTTTACCCCTGGTCTAGCCCTAAGTCAATTCGAAGTCAACTTTTAGTTGACCCGACTCGCCGAGTGGATCTCCACTCGCCGAGTCCCTGTCCAGACAATTGTCCTGGGTCCCTGATTCTACTCGTCGAGTTGGGCTATGACTCGACGAGTTCATCTTCTAAACTGACATTCAACTCCTTCATCCTACTCGCCGAGTTGTATGAACAACTCGTCGAGTTCATCTTCATCCGAAGAACACATATGCTAAGACTCGCCGAGTTGTATGAACAACTCGCCGAGTCTGTTCTTGATCTATGAAGATTGCCTTGGACTCGCCGAGTCCTAACATGGGTGAGTTCAGCTCCCAACTCACCGAGTCACCCCCTGTGACTCACGGCTCAACTCGACATCATGAAGGGACCAATCGGTGACTCGCGACCAGACTCGCCGAGTCACCTATACGACTCGCCGAGTCGCCGCCATGCATCCACCAAATACACCGATTTGCTCGATTTCAGTCCATGCCATTCATAGATCTGGACTTCTAGGACACAAATCACACGTAAAGTTTCCAACTTTACGTGTGGATATTCACCAATATGGATTTTAGGGCTCAAAATGCCTTAAAAGGGTAGATCTAGGGCTAACAAGCAACATGGGGCCATAAAGCTAACAGATCTGAGCTCCTGGAGCTCAATCTTGCCTAGATCCAGAGGCCAAACGTCTTAATACGACATATGCACATACGAGCTTGGGGATTGACCAAGAAAGACCCAAATGAAGTTTTAAGCATAGAATCATGGGGAAAACGGGTTATACCTCAAAGGAACTGCTGGAAGAACACAATAGTTGCTTGGTTGGCTTTCCTTCTTCTGGATCTACTTCTTTCCTCCTTCAAAACCTTCAAAAACACCCACAAAAGTCTCAAACTCTCAAGGAATGGCTTAGGACGAGGTATACAGGGCTCTAAGGGTGAATGGGGGCTGGCTTGGGGCAGTTAAGTCGTTTAAATAGGGTGCAAACCCCTGAAACTTAGGGTTTCATCCAACAGCGGCGACTCGCCGAGTCTAGGATATGGACTCGCCGAGTCGCCAACTTAAAACGTGACCTGGATCGCGTCTCTACTCGGCGAGTCGGACCTATGACTCGCCGAGTCCAAGGCTAAAATGGGAAATGTTCGAATAAGATTTACATACCAGAAACCAGGTGCTACAAATCTCCCCACTTATTTTAGACTTCGTCCTCGAAGTCTACTGCTCGTTCCTGAAACAGCTCGGGGTAATGCTCCATCATCTCGTCCATAGGCTCCCAAGTCCATTCCAAACCCTTGCGGTGCTGCCACTGCACCTTCACTAATTCCACTCTCTTGTTCCTCAAATCCCTCGACTTCCTGTCGAGGATTGCGACTGGGCGCTCAATGTAATTCAAGCTGTCATCAACCTGAATATCCTCCAAAGGCACTACTGCTGAATCGTCCACTAAGCACTTCCGCAACTGAGAAACATGGAAAGTGCTGTGGATCTGGCTGAGCTCGGCTGGCAGATCCAACCTGTACGCCACCCTGCCCACCCGGGCTACGACCCTGAACGGTCCGATGAATCGCGGGCCCAACTTTCCCCACTTCCTGAATCGAATGACGCCTTTCCAAGGCGACACTTTCAGGAGAACCATATCCCCAACTTGGAACTCCAAGTCGGATCGACGCTTATCAGCGTAACTTTTCTGCCGACTCTGAGCAGTCTGAAGTCTGCTCCGAACCTGTTGGATCCTCTCTGTCATCTCTAGCACCACTTCGGTGCTTCCCATGACTCTCTGGCCAACTTCACCCCAACATATCGGGGTTCTGCACCTCCGCCCGTACAACATCTTG